TAGTCCAGCCCAGGCAGGCCTAGACCGTTCGATACTGCTTCATGTACGTTAGCCTGTGGCTCGAAGTGGTCAGAGGCGGCGGGGGTTGGGGTGGCTTGTACAACTGATAGGGGACCAGCAGACATGCGACATGCAGTGGAGGACGAGCGTAGTTCGGGTGGCGATGTTGGGGGACGGAAAAGACGCGCAGCCGAGGTACGGAGGTACTCATCACCCTGTCTGGTATTCCACAATGTGAAATGGGTCTGAGAGATACATGGGAAAGAGACACAGAGCCATTGATCGATGTAGTGCCGTCTGATTCGATGGTTTGGCGACGACTTGCCGAGCCGACAGGGTGTCATGCAAATCGACTGGATGAGCGTGTCCATGAGAAGAAGCATGTCAAAAAGGGAGAAATTCGTTGCACATGGGATTTGCCGACTTTTTCCAGAGATACGCTTATCCGGGAGCTACGCACCCAACCCTGCATTCGGGCCGTGTTAGGCCGTGTTGGGCCTACCGGTCGTAGGCACGGATGGGAATTTGTCACAAACGTCTCCCAAGCCGACGGTCTTGGGGTTTGTCGCAGTATTCTACATACTGGGCACGAAAGACAGGACTAAGCGCTTTGGTTGCGTTTGTCCGAAAAGGCAGTACATGTGGCTGATCATCGTTATAATTCTGCCATGCGCGACTTGAAGATATAGATATATCAATTATCCATTTTCCATGGCTGTTGAAAAATATCATTTTAGAAATGTGACAAGACAAAGAAGGCTGGGGTCTATGGTATTTTCGAAATTCCATTCAATACCACCCGAAAGTTTACTCTGGCGGCTGTGTGGATGGTTCTTACTGCTGAGACTGTGGGGTTCACTTCTGAACACACTTCTGGAGAAGCAGGGGATTGGCTTGGGGGTAGTTACCCAAGGGTTGGGCTTTCTGGAGCGCACTTGCCCTAAGCTTCATAATGAAGGTAGTTGACGGCAATGGCCGTGTTGTGACTCGGCCTTTTGGAAGCCCCTGCAGCATGATGAGAAGTTGTTCTGGTGGTCAGACAGTGAGAGGGTTTTATCTGTTGGTGCGAAAACCGTAATGTGCAACAAGAATCTCTGTTCAGCCCCCGATGCATCCGCATGTCCATGCAGAAAAAGACAGTATGGTACTGTAACGCTCTGAACGGTCCAGATCATCATCGCCAGTAGGCGAGCCCGAGTACAGATTGTCTCTGGAAAACAAGATTTCGCGAGAGAAAACGTCAGACGCAAATCATGTTTTTCAACAGAGATCCAGATCCAGAGCCAGAGAGAGAAAGACCGGGCAAAACCCCACTGCAAGTAACCATGGGCATTGGATGCCTGCAGAAGGTGATTTGGTCTCGAGTCCTCGACGAATCCCATTGCCTTGCGGACTTTACTCCGCTGACGCCCCCTCGCGCGTTCCAGTCTCCTCCGACGACACTAGCGGGAAACCACTTCAAATAATGCCAGTAACGACAAAGTAGGTGGAAAAACGGAGGAGACGAACCAACTTACATCATTGCGCCCGGAGACGCTCGAGAAGCTCCGGTCGCCCACTGCGTGGTGGCCGGCCAATCAGCAGCCGCCGTCTGCATCGGAAGGCTCGCCCGCCAATCACAGGCTGCATGCGGCCAGCGCCAATGACGTATGGGCTCCTCTCGCGAAACGAGTCTTGAATGGCCGGTTCACGTGCGGAGACCCTGGCCCCACTGCCGCCAAGCGGGAAAAAGACCCCTGCCCCACACCCCGTTCCAATGTTGGGTACCCTGCGCACAGCCCGTTTCCTGGTTGCTCCCGTCAGTGTCCAACTTTCTTTCTCTTCATTTTCTCCAGTCTGTTCAATTTTTGCCATGACCGAATGGGCACACGCCGGTATCCGTAGACAGACAGACAGACAGACAGACAGAGAGCGAGAGAGAGAGAGAGAGGGAGCGTATGTGCCGAAAGTCAGCCAATAACGCTCTTTCCGTCCTGGCGTGATTGTATTGCGGTGGCCCCCGCTCCCCCGTCACCCTGTTTGCCGTGCTTATGTGTGCTTGCTTGGTGGCTCGTCTATGTGTGTGTGGCGATTTACCTTGTTAAAAGCAGACTCTGCCCGTTGTGCGGTAAACAGGTTTTCCCATGCGTCTCCTCGATCCCAATTGCCCATCGCCCATCATCGACGATCGATCGAAGAAACGAAGACACCGGCCACCGCACAGCTGCAATTCGCATCCCCACTCCCGCAGACATTTCGATCAGGGATACGTCCTTTGCCCATCCATTGATGCATCCCATTTTTGAGATCGGCCTTTCTGACGGCATCGACTTTTCAAAATCCCCATCCCCACAACAGCAGCGACGGCGTCACCCTCATCTGGTCTCCGCTGGCCCCGGGCGCCGCCCTCACCAGCGTACTGTTCGCCTCATGGCCTCCAGCCACCACTCCAGCCCCATCCGCCCTACATCCCCGACGACCCATGAATTGTCGCCTCCGCGCAGGCGCCCGAGGTCGTCGCCCAACGCGAAGCCGGTCGGGGGCCCCGGGGCTTTTGCCGGCAACGTTGGTGAGCAGAACACCGCTGAGGGCGAGATTTCCACCCGACTGTCCTTGAGACGCCTGAAGCAAGGCGAAAGCCATCAAAGGGTATGTAGAGAAAGGGTGCACGAACCAACAACCATTGCAGAACCACGCTAATACAAACATCAACAGATTCGCCATGGAGCCTCAGAACTGCTGCGTCTATCGGAAAGCTTCCCCGGCTACCACGGTCAATCCGAAGGCGGCGGTTTCCACTTCGCGGCCGACCAAGCCCTCCCCAGCGACAGCGACCTGCACCACATGGCCCACCTGTCCCACAACATCGCCAACGACATTGTCGACATCTTCGCGCTGAGGAACGAACACCGCGCAACCAACCGGGGGCGGCATTCGCGGAGCGCCGCCCTCGCGAACGCGACCGCGATATCGCGTAAAGGCGACAAGGGCGGTAGCGAGGTCGGCGAGCTCTACTGCCACAAGTGCCGTCGCACCGATACCCCCCAGTGGCGGCTCGGCCCCGACGGGCCCATGACCTTGTGCAATGTGTGCGGCTTGATGTACGCAAAGAGACGGCAGAACCAGGACGAATTAGCCATGTCCGTTTCTTCCAGGATGATCAGGCACCTAATGGCGGATTGAATTAGTTGTTGTGAATACCATAAACTTTGTTGTGAACGGGGTTGCCGAGCGTAGCGTGGCTTTCTTGCGCCAGGAGTCAATTGTTCCAGCGGGCAAGCCTCATTTTTTCCGCGGGAGATAATCATTTTATGCGACGCAGCAAAAATAACATTTGGGAGTTATCGGAGCAGGGATTTGCAGAGTTGGAGGCCATCTTGAATACGCCCAGCAAGACAGCCATTTTGGTTGATTGTTTTATCTCATGTTATCTCATTTCTCTACGTGTTTCTGGCACTTGTGAGATTTCGGTACTCACTCTTACATTCTATCACAATGGTACTTGAGTATTGGAAATGCATTCGACCTGTGCGACTCCAGACATGGGTGATACTACCAAGGGAGGCGTTCGCATTTGAGAGGGGCGGGACTTTGGCATCCTCTATCGTCAGTCCAAGCACCCGTTTCAAGCACACTCTCAGTCCTCGGTCCATGCTCCCAACCAAACTTAGACGTCAACACAGGAAAGTCTGGGGTCCTGGGCCACGGGCTGGCGAAGCGGCAGTTACCGTTGATTGATTGGATTACTATGCAGGAAACTCCCCCAGGAAGCACAGTCCTTCCGTCCAACGGAGTCGGACGCAAAACTGTCAAGGGGGTGGTAAGCCCAAACGAACTTCATTCAGCCTTCAGCCCATTCTCGCGCACGCGGCACGTGGCTGAGGCAAACGCCAGATGGGGCATCTTTTCCCAAAACCCAACTGTTTCTCCAGCCCCAGAAAAGCAAACAGAGTTGTCAGATGCGCAGTGGAAGAAACGTGCAAAGATCTGCCACATCGTTACTGTTCAGGAATTCTGCGGTTGGCGCGATGGCGAGAAGAGGGGTGTGTGGCATGCCGGCGGCGTGTGGCGCTGCAGACGACGAGTGGAACGAGCCTCAACAGCAAATCATCCCCTTTCGGTATTACAGCATATGGACGGTGTTCCAAAGATTATCTACCATACTCACGATCTCTGATAGTTGTACCTGGGCTTGATATCGTGATTGCTGTGCCATCGGAAGTGTGAGAGAAAACTCTTCTCTGGGCGTGAGTGGAGTCCACTGAGTCCCCTTCGCAAAGACAGTTGACCCTCGCACATTGGGGGACCTCCGTAAGAACGTCTTGAGGATGCATGCCAATTGGGCCAGAAGAAGATGTTCGTAGTTGTTGAGAAACACTACAGAATATTCCGGGATCCTCTATTGCCCCGTAAGCTCGAAGGCGAAGCAAGAAGTCGCTGTTGTGTCCGACACAATGCCCCCTTCCACGAGACTTATCCCTCCTCACTACCAGCAGTCAGTAACAGGGCCAATTGCCACAGGCAGGCCCATGTCCATCCCCCGAATCCCCATACTATCGTTGTTTGCACCCGATCCAACTTTCTCTGCTGGCTCCCGAAGCTTCCGTCACGTGCGGCCCCTTGTCGAGACCACAAGCGGTAAGCGTTCCGGTGTGCAGACGACCCACCAGCATCAACACCATACGATTCAGTTCCATTCGAACGAGAAGAGATCCTATCCTCTTCAAAATACCTTGTTGAGCAAGATGCTACATACAAGATCCCTTCCCTGACGGGCGGAGAGTTGGTCTAAGTCCTGTTACTCAACGGGGGGCATCGAGGAAGACTCTATTGGTTTGATTCTTGAAGAAAGTCGGCGACAATGCCATCATTAAAAGGTAACGACGCGCCGAAAGAACTTCGCCAAGAGTCGTTCAAACCGTGGCTCTGTGTCCTCTGACCACCTACACTCTCACAGCCAGAGACCCCCCTTCTTGACATAATACCCTTTCACACGACATCAACAACCCTCAACGGACACGATGAAAGCCCTCGTCCTCTCGCCATCCAGCCGATCGGCCTCCGTCAAAGATATCCCAATACCCTCTCCCGGGCCTCGAGAGGTCCTCATCAGGGTCCGCGCCGTCGCCTTGAACCACGTCGACGCGCTGTACGCCAACAATCCCATAGCCGCCCAGGACGAACGGGTCATCGGCAGCGACTTCTCAGGAGAGGTTGTACAAGTCGGCGAGGGCCTTGACGTGGTCGATGATACGCGTGCGCAGATTGGAGCTCGCGTGGCCGGGGTTGTCCAAGGAGGTAAGTCTTGCACCTCGTCGCGTCGTGTACACATCTCAAGTCGATCCCCCGTCGTCTTCTCCCCTCCGGAAATCACACGCCGCGACCGCATTGTCCCTAATTGCAGCAGCCTGAGAACCTGGTTCAAGTCCCCTCGGGTGGCCTCGTTTCTCTTTGTCATCTTCATCGGCATCTAGATGTAACCTGGCGCATGTCCAACATCAGCTAACAGCGCCCAACAACAGCCTGCTCCGTCAACTTCCGCCCGGGTGCTTTTGCAGAATACCTCGCCGTCGAGTACGACCTAACATGGCACGTCCCGGCGACAATATCCTTCGAAAGCGCGGCGACAATCAGCCTCTGCGGTCTGACCGCTGCCCAGGGCGTCTTCGCCCGCCTGCAACTCCCATGCCCATTCTTTAACACCAGAGGCTTCTCGGGCCTCAACCTCGCTGACGACAGCCCTGTCAACGTCTTCATATACGGCGCGACATCCTCCCTCGGTCTGTACGCCGCACAACTCGTCCGCGCGTCTGGAAAGACTTCTGGTCGCAGGATACGGCTCATCGGCGCAGCCAGCGCGTCGAAGCACGCCATTTTGAAGCAGGAACCGTACGGCTTCGATGTCCTGGTCGACTACCGGGATACCGAGTGGGTTGAGAAAGTGCGTGATGCGGCCAGGGGAGGGGTGCAGTACGCCATTGACGCCATATCCAGAACCCCGTCGGTTGAGCAGGTTGAACAAACGCTGGCGGAGGAGGGCCAGTTCGCAGCATTCCGGAGTCCTGCTCTGGGCGGATTTGATATCTCCAAGATGAGGGTCAAGCCCCTGATTGGAGCTGTCTGGGAAGGGTTGGGGGTTGAAGTATTGTACCAAGGTAAGTGACCGTTGGATCTTTGGCTGACGATCGATCTGAGACATTGTCGCTGATTCTGGTCATTTGATGCTTAGGCGCAACTCTCCCCGCGAACCCCGAGGCGCGACGATTCACGGCCGCATTCTGTAACCACATGGGCTCCGAAGCCGCTTCTGGGGTTGTCAAGGTGCAGCCGAACCCTGTACGTCTGATGCCGGGTGGTTTGGAGAGGGTCGCTTTAGAGGGCTTTGCTCTGTTGACTGGTGTCGGGGGTGAACGGTCCGTAAGTGCCGAGAAGATTGTGTACACTATCTCTTGAGGATCCCGTCTTTGGGATCGACTTAGCATGACGTCTCCCGATTGCAACGTATCGGGCAGCTTTGCTGAGCTCGGCGAAGACCAGTGTCAGCACGGAAGCTGGGGCTTGCTTAATCTACATGGAAATGTGGTTGTCAAGTATTAGACGGAAACTTCCTGAGATCACATACACTAGGGAAAGGCTTGTATGCAACATAGACTCCACGTGTCTGGGAAAGTGAAACACAGGGGAGTCAGCGAAGAAGAGTACAATCGCGGGATTGTCATTGCTCAAACTTGTTGACTACAAGATTTCGCGGCCTATGGCGGGCTGTTTATCTGTTGTATCGTTGGATGTCCCGTCAACCTAAGGTGGCTGTTGCTTGTTGCGAAACGGGCATCCGAACTTTCCAGGTTGCCGCTAGTATTCAAGTGCTATCCTGTCAATTCACTATGTAAAGCCTGAAGCTGGCTTACGGAGCTGAAATCATGTGGCATCTCTGCTTGGAGTCTTTACATATGTTAATCATGTTACCAATACGATGTGACTGGAGCGAAGAAAGGATATGTCCGTCGCCAGTGTGTCAAGTACACGCCCATACCTTTAGATATCAATTACTTTAGGGACTGATATAGGCCGGAACATATTGTTGTATTCCTACTCTCTCATCAGTCAGCCCTTGTTAAAACCTTTCTTCCAGTCACAACCTTTAACTGTCAGAAGTGTTTGTTAACTCATCGAGCGTGCTGTGGGCGAAAGCTAAGTCGGGTGACCGTAAGCATCGGGCTGGACTGGCATGATGTAACACAGAAGTAGAGGCCAATAAGATACGGTATACCTCAGACACAAAATATCGCTGACAGGTATTGACTGCTGATCTGTCAGCAGGCACGTCGAGCCAATCTCACAGGTGATATGTATGCAGGCCGGGTTAATATCTGGCCGCGGATGCGGTTACACAAGCGCCCGTTTCCCGGTTGGGGTGCCGGATCAGGCAGCATCGCAGGTTCTTGAATTTGACAAACGGCATCGAGATTCGCATCGGGCGCCTTTGGTCGACCTTATTCAAGCCTACCTAAGCAGCGAACGATGAATCAGCTCCAGCATCAGGGTTCATCTGAGTCAAATGAGTATGCTCTACTTCTGGGTCCGCGTTTTCCTACCGGTTCAGGAGTCACCACGATCCAGCCTTTCCCAAGTTCCAGCAGTTTATCTAGTCTGTCTTCGACTCTGGCTTCGGGCGGAGACAGCAACCTACTCTCACTGGTATATCAATAGTGCCCAACAGCAGTTCGTTCCCCGCAAGCCTGCATACATGCCACCCGAAGATTAACCATCCAAATACCAGGCCATTCGATCCAGCGAAGGATGCGTACGATAAAGCGGTCAATATTCTGCGAAAGGATCTTACAGCAGCCGAGTGTCAAGTAATACAAAGGCAAAATTCAATTCAGGATGTCAGATTCGCTCTTGACAAAGCTTTGGAGGAATACCAGAAGAAATCGAAGGCTTCAAAGGTTCGAGACTGGCTGGCAAAGTGCTCGTCTCGAGTAATGTACTATGGAGGTAGGCTGAAGCCACTTTACACCGAGTTCTTCAGGAATGAAGCTCATTACGAGACAGCTGTATTCGACACGTTCTCGCAACACCATCCCGAATACGTATCTCTGGCTTGGGGTGCCTTCAAGTTTATATTCATTGTGAGTCTTCCTGGTCTTGGTACCTCTATCGGCTCTTGGCTAACTTACCGAGGCGGTTTTCAACTACGAGGAGCTGCTTGTGGAAGTTTCAAAAGCCGTTTCTCGAATCGCCGACGTACTACCTCGAACCGAGTTCCACTCGCTACTCTATTCTACCCCAAGAATGCAGGAGAACGTGACTCAGCTCTATGCAAAAACCCTAGATTTCTCGATCAAGGCTATCCAGTTCTACAAGAAAGGAAAATTGTCACATTCTATAGCCTCCATCGTCAAGCCCTTTAGCTTGACCTTCAAGCCAATCATTGAAGAAATTAGGGAGAGGTCAATACGTGTAGACGAGCTTGCTAGTGCGCTTTCTAAGGCCGAGATCAGAGACCTTCACGTGAAGGTTCATCGGCTCAGCCAGTCGGTAGCACAGCTGACTGAAATGATGGTTTGTGAGTTACAGCACAAACAACCCAAGCTCATTATTTTTCCACGGCTGCTGATTCTGGCGCAGTGCAAAACCAGTCAATCCTATCTTTTCAAACGCAACACAAGCAAATGTTTCAAAACACGCAAATAAATGCCATACGATCAGCGATACTGATCTCGGACACCCCAATCGCAGCCGATAGCCTGGACTGGTGTCGGTCTATGCGAAATCGTCGCCGGCAAAGGTCTTTTACTCAACTACCTTTGCCGGCGATATCTAGACTCAAGCTCTGGGTCTCAAATTCAACTTCCTCTTTGTTACTTGCAGAAGAGAGGGGTGTCACTACGAGTGCGCTCGATTTTGCCGCAGACTTTATCGATATCGTCCTTGAACACGAATACCCAGTTGTTTGGGCTCTTCCAGCAACTACGACCGTGTCTAACGAGACAGGAGAGCCAATTTCGGTGTCTGGAGTCCTTAGATCTCTTATATCCCAAATCATCGCAGTCAACCCCGGCCTTGTAGTTGAAGGTGCTAACCCCCTTGCAGCCCAGCATTTCAAGAGTCACATGACGATTTAAAAATGGTTTAACGTCTTAGAACGATGTGTCGTAAACTCTTCACGCTTGTTTGTTGTAATTGATATGGGCTTTATTGAAGCGGCTTTGCAACATGAAGAGTCGGAGGCACAGTCCTTCAGCATGAACGAGTTCATTGAGCAGATGGCGGGTATAGTGTCACGAAAGGTGAGTGGGGGCATTAAGGTGGTTATCGCTTCATGGAGACTCGGCTCATTCACGAATCTGGGCTCCGAGGAGGTTTTCAACGAGAATCGGATATATACAGACAGAGGGCGGCGCGTAGAGATGATGATGAAACAGCCCAGGTTTCGCGCGACAGATCGAGGGAAGCAGCGACAAACTACAGCGAGATTTAGATCTAGCATGGCCTGACAGACCCCAACGGACGTTTATATTTCTAGTTCGTGCAGCAAGGGACGCTTCAGGTGACCAGAGGAGTTATAGAACACAGCGCAATCACACAGGTCAAGCTCGGTTGTACTGAGCGGTGGCATCTGGGAGCCCGAACTGTGAGCCTTGCTGCGCCACGCCAGGTTGAATGTGACGTGGGCGGCCTCCGCCCAATCATAGGAATGTTTATATCCAAGTGGTCTTGTGCATCTGTCACGTGTGTAAGATTGACCGATAGCAGTTTGCCTGAGCGAGGAATCTGCCTCCCTCGTCTGCTGCTGTTGTCAGCATGAGTAGCTGTCTCTCCGGTTTTCACCTGTTCATCTAATCTGAGAACCATCGTCAGTGACACAAAGCTATCGAACTATCAGGGTAGCATCATCCAATAGCGCCCGATAGACTGCTCTCTTACGTCTCCTACATTCTTGAGTTGCCCTTTGTCTAAGCTCTCTATAACAGAAGCGGACAGTGACCCTGCACACGTTGACGGGAAAGGCACCAGCCTGTGCTCCTCGTGACAATAGTGTCTAGAATGACGACCAGAACGACTGTCACACAGCACGAGTAAGATCCTTCATCATGAGTACGCGTTATTCTTCCGGGCGGAGGGATTCCAGCTCAGATATCGACGACGCGATTCCGGAAGGAGAGACCAGCAGCAAACTCTTCATTAACTCGACCATTTCGCGCGACGTTGACATCGCACACAAGAAGAACAAGATTCACTCTCAAGCCTGAATGCAAAGTTTGATTCTTCGAGTAAGCCTGACCAATACCGTGAGAAATGTTGTTGTTTGTTAACGAAGCAAAGAGCACTGCGTTTAAGCAATTTGAATGAGCCCAATCAGCCAGGACCCCAAGGGCATGACCGAATGCCATTAATTTCCGCCAGAAGTATGCACAGGTCGCCCCAGGCGCCCGCATCTCTTTCACGCACGCCGCCGCCGCCGCCTCGTCCACCTCCGCCAGGGTGGGCCGCACACCACTCGGGAATGTACCCGGGAATGTATTCGGGTAGACGACTGCCTACTCCAAGACCACGACTTCCAGGTGACTACCTTTCGGGACAAAGGCCACCACCAATGTGGATGGGGCCGCCTCGCGAACAGAGTAGACCACGCGGCAGCTACTCAGATTTGAAGTCATCGAGAAGCTCCAAATGGCGAAGAAAGTTGCAGGAAAGCCGGGACGCAACTTGCACCCATAATCACTCGCTTCAAACTCTTGGAGATGATGTTCGCAATGCCCCAGGAGACAGAAGTGATGCAGTGAATCACTCAGGAACCACTCATCCGAAACTAGTCGAAGAAGATTCTCTTGCAGAAGCGCTGAGTGCGCTTGCGGAACAACACCTCGACCTTGATGTTCTGGACCAGTCCAGAGACACTTCAAACTTCATATCCTACCTTCTCGACACCATTCAGATACTGGAAGCTGAAGTCAACTACAACGATGCCTACTCTGAGATCAACGTCACCGAAGGTGACTACGACGAAGGGATCGAGCCAAGCAACCCAGCCGCTCCATGCTTCAAAACTATCCATCGAATTTATTGCAGCAATCCAGTCCATAATCATACCATGATGCTTTTTGAAGACGAACCGGAAGTCAGGACAAAGTCTTCATCTCCTCTCGCTATGAGACTTGAAGGCCACAATGTGATAGAGAACTTAGACTCCTATTTATCCGAGCATCCGGAATTTTGTTTCATCGTAATCAAAGAACATACGTGTGTTAGGAATCCGGCTCGCGAGTTACCACACCAGCAAAATGAATCACCAGAAACCAAGCAATCCCAGAGATCCGAACGGTTGGCAATTATATCACCTTTGCTCCGGAAAGCACTAGACCAAATCGCACAATATATCCTCCAGGAAAGTCACTATATCGTTGAGGATGGGATGGGTATGGACGCTCCTTATTCTTTTTTCTTTCATCATAGAGAGAAGCTTGTCGAACTTGCCGATGACGACACATACGGGTCGGTCCTGTCGCCTTTGCTAGGATTCTTGAATGAAAACTACGCAGAGGAGTACGAAGAAGCAGTCAGCATGTTTGACCGGGGGGTCGTCAATGCCCGTCATCTGCAGAAGCTTTTTCAGCCAAATAAATTGGTCATCTTGAAGACCTCTGACGACTTCAACGTCTATGCGTTGGACGACTCCCCGGAGATTTTGAAGGAAGAGGTCCTTTTCGTGGGATGGTCTTACGTCTATTCCGAAACCAGCTTGCGGCAAAAGATCTGGCGCGACAAAATGAGTCCTGTTGGCGATAAAGACGTCAAAATATCGAGTCTCAAGGTCCACCCGGTCAGCTTTGGAGGCAAGGAAGACATTGAAAATTTGACTCTAAGGGGCCAAGCATTTTGGGGAATGAAGGGGCAACACTATGGATGCTACACTGGCTGGGATCATCGGCACGAACATTGCTACGTAGGTCTTCAATTCTCACTTTGGCTCTTCGGAGATTCTCATGTAGTCTGCTGCTAAAACGTCCAAGAACTCATCTAGATTCATGGTAGATCTGGCTACTCATCAGCTCATGCACCCGTCAAAGAAAGTCGGTCGTCACGTTGCGATTGAGGAGCCAATCAATCAGGTCTGGCCAAAGCAAATCAAGTGGGAAGACAAGATAACACCCGAAACGATTTTGCTTCTTCCGTCAACTGTGCACGGTTTCAATCTCCAGGAGAAGAAATGGGGTATGAGGGACCTGCACAGAACATTCAGAAGTTTGAGTTCACGAGAATGCTGACGATTACGCAGTGGACCTAGACGTGGATAAATTCCATCCTGTCACTTGGAACAAGAACGCATTTAAGCGTCTGGTCCTTGAAGAGAAGACAAAAGAAATGATATATGCTCTCGTAGACATCCAAACAGCGACGAAAAGGATGGACGACATTATAACCGGGAAGGGGAATGGTCTCATAGTTCTTCTTCATGGCAGCCCAGGTACAGGGAAAACCCTAACAGCCGAGAGGTGAGAAAAGAACTTTGGAAAAATAATTGAATACTCATTGAAGCTCTCCCAGTGTTGCAGAAATTGCAGAGAAGCCCCTGTACCGTGTTACCTGCGGCGACATCGGTACTGAGGCTCAGGATGTTGAGAAGTATCTCGCTACGGTTCTATACCTGGGGAAGCTATGGGACTGTGGTACGTTCGCTATGACAATCTAATCTACGAACCAGTACTGATGCTTCATAGTTCTTTTGCTTGACGAAGCGGATGTCTTCTTAGAAGAAAGAACTTTTGCCGACTTGCAAAGAAATAGCTTGGTGTCAGGTAAGCGTAATGCCCATGGTAACCACCCATCGGTTTTCTCTTGTGGTGTTTAATCATATATCATAGTGTTCCTTCGAGCCTTGGAATACTCCGAGGGTATCCTCATCCTCACGTCGAACCGCGTCGGTCACTTCGACGAAGCCTTCAAGTCGCGTATCCAGGTGGCAATCCATTACGACAATCTCTCCAAGAGGTCACGCAAAGACATTTGGCAAAACTTTCTCGAAATGATTGAGGATTCTGCAGATGAAGATGCCAACATTGCTGAGCTTGAAGATCATTTGGATCAGCTAGCCTCGGAGGAGATGAACGGCAGGCAAATTCGTAATGCCTTGCTCACGGCAAGGCTATTGGCCAAGCAACGGAAAGAACGGTTGGAATGGGTCCATTTGGATCAAGTAATGAAGACTTCGGCGGCTTTCAACAAGTACCTGAAGACGGTTCGTGGACAGAGTGACGATAAGCTAGCACGGGATGAGGGGCGGCGATGAAGTCGAGGCAACATGCAAGGCGGGGACTCTTGGTTTTCTTTTCCTTCACTCTTTGTTTTGTATGAAAGATAAACGACGTTCAATTCAATGCTATTTATTAGTTTCCTTGACCCGAGTCAAATGCGGAAAAGTAGATCAGACCATTACATCAGACTTGGGAGTTCTTCCCTATCCCAATGGCTTTTAACGTAAAGTACACATCTGCCTAGGTGGCACAATTACCACCAGCTACCAGTCCCGTGAGAGTAGTAATTGATCAAAACAACGCAATTTGACCTCAGCGTCAATTGTAAAAAGCCATGCAAGTAGTCGTGTTTCTCATACGGCAAGTTGCGAATCCTTGTGATCCAAGCCCAACTTGCTTTCGCTTACCCAACAACAGCCATCAGCTGTAAGCAACACACCCCCAATATCTCAACTGTCCAAAGCCACCTAATTTTATAACGGGTCTTGGGTGCTGACAACCTTGAAGCGCCACCCGGCTTGGGGCGGTGGACTGATTGGGCTACATTGAAACGACCTGTGTCTCGACCAGCGTCCAATCTTATCGGCTTTGGTTGACGACAGTTGAGGGGCAAGTATCGCAAGCTCGTTAACACTCGCGCGCTGAAGGGTTGTATTTAGGATTTTTGAATACTTCGTCGGTGTTCGGAATCGGGGAATGAAGGTTGCACGGTCAACAAGTCCACCACCTTTCACCTGCTGGCGTGTTATTGGAAGAGTCATTGGGTGTTTACAAGAACGGCTAGCCCCTAAATGATTGTCACCACATCCATGAGTTTCTCAATCGTGAAATCCGGTCTCAGCTCCTCAAACTTAACCCGCTCACCATACCCATAACGCGCTCCGCACGCCCTAGCACCAATATTGCGAACAAACTGAATATCAGCAACCGTATCCCCAAACACCACTACCTCAGACGCATCGACGACCGCATCAGCCAGCCCAGCCTCACGCATCTTCGGCACCAGCACATCCGTAAAACTCCCAACATCAGGCTTCCTCGTCGCCCCAGGCGTCTCATCACCCACAATCAGTTCATCGAGCGCATACCCATCAAGGCTATTATTCCGCAGCGCCGCGTGGACGGCTTGCACGCCATTGTTGCTCACGATATCGACGGGGATCCCACGCCGTCGTAGGCTCGACAGGACCTGGTCGGCGCCGGGGAAGGCCGGATGAGCGATTGGCTGTGCTGCTAGGCGTACAGCCGGCGGTACTCGGAGATCCAGGGGTCCTGTTCGAGGGCAGCGGGTGAGGGATGCAGCGCGCGGAATGTGTCTGCGAGGCCGGCGCCGCTGGAGATTAGTCTGCGGATATCGGCCGGGGCGGGCGGCGGGGTGGATGGGAGTAATGAGGCGAAGGTCAGCTTGATTGTTTCTTCATTGGAGGAGTGCGTGTCGAAAGAACCTGCCGTCAAAATCGAGGATCACAAGGCTGGTGGTGGTCATGGTGTTTGGGGTGCTTGGTGGAGCTGATGATACGGTGGGAGTTCTACGTTCACGACCGGAGGCCAACAAATCTTTTAGTGCACGAGACATACAGGTCTGCCATCACTGCTTACGCCACCTGCTAATCAATATCAACGCCCAAAGTCGATACTGCCCGCTGCAGATCGGCCATAATGATAGGCAGCGACGAGCTTTTATGAAGAAATCATGAGGTCCCCTTTAAAGCAGCCGCGAGCAAGGAATCCTGGCAGGTTAAACACTCTGCTGTACACATGCCTTCTCTGGGCTTGTCGAAATGTCCGCGCACTCTGCAGAGGGGAGGGTTACTTCCGTATCCAAGCAACGAAGGCGCGAGATGTCAAACTTGAGCCAAGTAGGCTCGAGGATGGGCAGAATCCAGCTAAGTGGACCGCAGCTTCCAGAGGATGTTCACCCCGGCTCATCATTGGCTCGGTCGCATTCGAGTCGTGTAGTCCGAGCACACAGCCAGCCGCATTACTTGACTCTTTCCTCAAGAAACGAGAAAAGTCTCTGCAGTCAGTCAGACGGCTTTCATTTTGGGATTTGCCTTGGACGTATTGGGATCACGCGGCTTGATGTTTGGGAATCGGGAAGACGGAGGAAAGCACGGGACCACTCCGAGACCCATGAGGCAAACCCCACGCCGGCCCGGACCCGACTGCCGTCCCACGCTGGGAAATGTCTGGGGAGCTCTTGACCGGCCCATATTGCCGGAATCTGCCCTGGGCCAAAAGACCCTCCTTCTACCAAAGTTCCTGAACCCACCGCGGCAGGCCAGGCACCCATTCCACGAACAGCCACACCTCAACGGCTCTCCCAAGAAACACCATCCCCAATCAAGCACTTCTTAATGCAACAAACCCAATTGGTCAGGTCCCCTTTCTGCAGGATTGCGGACCCGAAAGCGCCCAAGCAGTGACGCCGCGCTACGCTTGACCTCTTAAACAGATTGAGACAAGGGGCAGACGGCGCGTAGGTCTAAACCGCAGTCGTGCAAAAAGAAAGGATTCAGCGCTAAATTCTGACGTAAAACGCCCGCAAATAAGGTTTTAATCTTCTTTTTGGGATGAGAAATCCGAGTCTCTGGGCGGGATGAATGAAGAGGGGGAATCTGCTGTTCGTCGGGTATATGTCATACAGCCGTCCGCACCCCCCCTCTTCTGTGAGATAGCATTTACAGTCTTGTATTTTCCGGAAAAGGTTCAGCCATCCCATCTCTGAAGTCCATCCCAGCTCACGAAAGCACACGAGTCGAGACGACTGCATCATGGCCAGCGCAGCCCCCGCGGTGATTGGAGAGCTGGCGGGGAACGGGACGGCCAAGGCGGGCAGCTTCCTTGCATTCCTCGCGGAGGACGTGCAGAGGTCGCCGGTGCTGTATTCGACGTTCGCCGCGCTCCTGGCGCTTCTGGTGCTGGTAAACAGGCTGTCGTCGCCTCCGGTGGAGGAGCGGGAGCCGCCGCTGTTGAAGCCAACGATCCCCGTGATTGGGCACTTGATTGGGATGATTAAGCACGAGAGTCACTACTTCAAGTTTCTTGAGTAAGTTCCCATGGCGAATTGAGGCGGGTTGATGCAATTGAGAAACCTGGAGCTGATGTTGTGGGTGACACAGACCTAGGGGCTTCCGGATCGCGACGCTGCCTATCCTGGGCGGAAAGGTGTACGGCGTGTGGTGTCCTATGCTGGGACAGGCTGTGCATCGCAACAAGGACCTCTCATTCGAGCCGTTTGCTCTCGAGTTTGCGCAGCGGGAGCTGGGGTTCGATAACGATACGCTCAAGATTCTGCGGGATTCGACACTGATGCCGGAGTTCTTTGACGGGATCCACGCGGGGATGACGCCGACGAACGTGCGACGCATGAATGCGAATGCGTTGAGATACGTGGCCAAGGTGCTGGGAGAGATCCCGGCTGGGGAGGCGTTTAAGACCACCAACATTTTCCTGTGGGTTAGGGACTTGATGACTCTGGCGACGGCTGAGGCGCTGTATGGGCCTGCGAACCCGCTCGCGAAGGATTCCAGTTTGATGGAAGAGGTTTGGTAAGTTCACCTGCGGCGTATTTCGCTTGATTTCACTGACACCACGTAGGGCCTTTGATGCGGGCTTGGGCCTTCTGATGCTGGGCGTCTTCCCATCCATCATTGCGAAGAGATGTTACCAGGCCCGCGCCAAACTTCAGGCGGTGCTGAGCGATTACTACGGAGCAAGAGAGGATGACCACGAGGAGGCGGCGCAAATTGTGAAGAACCGAGCAAACGTGCTCCGGAAACACGGCATCCCTGACAGGGAAGTCGGCACGTTCGAGATTGCTCTCCTCCACGTAGGAACGTCCAACACGATCCCAACTCTGTTCTGGTTTGTTGCGCATGTCTTCACCAACGCCGAGCTGGTGGCCAAGCTCCGAGCAGAAGTGGCAGCGATTGCCACGCACGGACCGAACGGCGAGGTGACCATCGACATCGGTGCGATTGATGAAAAGTGCCCGTTGCTTGTGAGCTGCTACCGCGAGTCCATCCGGTTATCGAACAAGGGTATGGGGCATCGCCGTGTGATGAAGGACACGACTATCTCCGATGGCAGGGGAAACACGTACCTCTTGAAGGAAGGCTGCAACATCCAGCTGTCCCACGAGGTCTCGCATAGCCTGGAGAGGGTCTGGGGAACAGACTACGACAAGTTCGTGGCGGACAGGTTCGTAGACAAGAAGGCCGAGGGAGACATCATGATGGAGAGAGTCAAGAAGGCTGCATTCATCCCCTTTGGTGGCGGAAGGCACCTATGCCCGGGACGCAATTTTGCGTTTGCTGAAAACCTGGGGTTCGTGGCTTCGCTGGTGTTGGGCTTTGATGTGACGACGCTGGACGAGAACATGAAGGCAACGACTGCGGCCCCAAAGATGGACCGATGTCCGATGACGGCTGCGGCGGCCCGACCGATCAACAATGGCGAGGGATTCGGTGCCTGCGTCGCGAGACGGAAGGGGTGGGAAAATGTCAAATGGCAATACACCAGCTGAGTGGTGTGAGGGTCCTAGGTTGCCAAGCCTTAGAAATCATTTCGCCCATTGACTCTGATCAGCTCAGAGAAGCGCTTCTCTTGGCACTGAAGCATGATGATGCAGCTGTACGACTGACGTTGGTGATGATGACAGGCGGCTCTCAATGGCCCCAGTCGTGGAGGGGCTAGTCGCGTGTCGCAGGCCTATGATCAGCGCTTATTGACGTCCGGCATTCGGAATGTGGAAGAGCAACCGATGGCGACGTGTTGCTGCAGCTGCGGTTCGACGGAGATTGGGCGGTGATGAGTGATGATGCTGAAAGTGCCAGGAATCAAGCTTGAAGCCCACAGAACGAGTCCGGGGTGGAGCTGTCAAGACCAAGACCAGGACGTGGGACCTGCAGCTGCATCGAGCTCATCGGAGCTGGAGCTGAAGCTCCTCTGGGCTCGCTCAGCCACAGCCACACGTGACAGCCACCGACATTGACGTCATGGCGGCGTCGTACCAGCAAGAAGCAATGAAAGCTGGAAGCAGGAGCAACGGGAGACCTGTTTCCCGCTTGGGTTGCTGCTGCATTTCTTGTCCTCCCCTTGGAAATGGAAATGTCACTGTGATTAAATAGACAAAAAAAGCTCAAAAAAAGCGAACATCTCGGCCAAACCCACCATTCCAGACCAACACACATCGAAATGAGCTACGCGTTCCGTCGCGTATGCCTTCAATTGCCTGCCAGCATCGGTACCAAGCATGGCTCGCTGTGTCAAGCTTTACGCCCAGCCGGAGTCGGCATCGGCAGAAGCATCCCAGCTTTCGGACGCGCCGCCAGTCATTCTGCAAACCGCCGGGATGAGGTCGAGAACGCCAAGGCCAAGAAGACCAATAGGGAGGACATGCACAAGGAGGAGCAGAAGGAGAAGGACGAACGCGCTGAGCTGTTTGCCTTGAGGAAGCAGGAGGAGAGGCCGTGGCACCGCGCTGGCGACGAGGTTGAGCAGCGGGAGTCGTCCAAAGATCCGACAAACGGTGATAAGACCCGCGGTACGCACCGACTTCCCGCTCCGAGTGCTTAGGTTCTGCAGTGCCTTGCATGCTGACTCTGCTTCAGGACGCCTGCTCACAACTCCGACCCGTTTATTGAAGCTCATCTTGCCGCTGCCATTCTACGCCGAGCAAACGAGGATCACGCAAGCCCCCAAGAAAGACGGTGAGAAAGATGGTGAACAGGAGGAGATTGCTCCCCTTGCACTCCTCGTCCACCCTCAGCAACCATTGTCATACCTCGAGAGGCTGCTCCAGGCCGAGATTCCGCCGATTGATGACGGCCGTCGGGAGCGAATCCCCAGGATATACTTCCGAGCCGAGGCAGACCACAAGGGAAACGACCAGCACAAGGCTGCGACGGAGAAGCAAGAAGGCAACGTTGCCTCATACTCCGGCCTAGGACGCGAGGGCCCAAAGAAGAAGCAGGACGATACCAACTGGGTTCGCTGGAGCAGCAGCACTGAGGTCGGCGACTTTATTAGGGATGCCGCGCGCGGACGGGAGTTCTCTATCGGCATTGAGGGCTACGACCAAGAGCTTCGCGTGGCGGTGCCCAGCTTCAACGACCGAACATACTACATGCGGATTCGCTTGCGTAAGTTGTCACATAGGGTCGAGCATTTCGC